TCAGGCTTCCATTGGCTGTTATGGAGCAGTGAATAGAAGCTTGTGATTGGCTAAATGAGGTGCCATGCAAGAGCTCAGTGTTGAATTTGCTTTAAACGTTTGTCTGCGTTTGATGGTTCATCTGTGTGTCGCTCTGGGTTCCCCAGGACCTGCTGGTGACCGTGTTCGAGAACGGCAGCCTGGTGAAGGACTACTCCCTGGAGGAGATCAGGAAGAACGCTCGGCTGCGGGACGAGGACTTGAACCCCACCCTGCACAACCACCAACAGGACCTGCTGCACAACCACATCATGAACGGCAGTCATTAGAAGAATCACAAACCCGACGCCTCTCACAATGCAGATGATAAATGTTTGTTTTTAACTGAGGGGAAATCTGCGGGCGTTTCAACTCTACATGTTGAATGGGAGTGGAAAAACTGTTATCACCAAGCACAAGCAACCACAGATCATCCCGAGGAGAGGCCGGATTACAGCCAATCAGCTTCATCTCTCACTAAACACTTAGCCAGCACGCCCGCCCTGTCAGGGTCAAGACCAGCTCCAAAGGACCAGGGTCCAATATGATCACCTAAAAGCACTTAAAGCCCCCTTTATACATTCACATCTCAACATTTCCATAAAGCGTCTCCCTTTTCAAACACGTCCTTCACAGCTGGATTTGATCTGTCTTGCATTTTTAAGATAGCAGATCTTTTTGTCTTAACATCAGTTCTACCTGTTATTAAACATATTCACAGTATCAACCAATTAGTGGGGGAAAAAACATAACAGAAAAGAGCATGACACATCCTCACCGATTAGACGTTCCCTCACCTTCTGCCCGCCTGCTGCTGCGTCCACACACCGGTTCACCCCGACTTCTTGCAGAAATCTTACCGGGACACTTTGCGGGAAAAGTCCAGATGAAGTCGTGGTGAACATTTTGACTGTTGCGTTCACACATGCAGCCCGCTCTGAACATTTAGAGACACTTTGAGGAGTGAGCGGCTGAAGATACAACTTTTGAACTCAAAGTGTGTCCAGACCTCGTTAAAATCACTCTGTATTATCTTTCAGGATGTTTTCCTAGCTGCTTATCTCCAGCAGTGGAACAGTGTCAGACTCAAAAGGACCAAACCACAGTTGGCCTCAATTAGTGAAGAAAAGCAGCCGACATTTATCACAACAACATACAAATAGAAACAGCATTATCAGCTGTAGTAGAAGTGTTACATCATACGACGCAACGCCCCGTTTCTTGGATTTTAACAAAAAACTTTAGGAGAATATTTAATTTTAAATTATTTTATTGATAACAAAATATCCAGTTGTTATCATTCATTTAACAAATTGTTGATGTGATTAAGATGCTTGTTCAGAACTGCAGGAATGTAGTGATGAATTTCTAAAGTAAGGTCGAGGAAACGCCTAAAGAACGACTTTAAAGGTGTTTCATTTTCACTTCGATTTTTCCGTTTGTATTGCTTTCAGTTAGACGTAATATTTATATTTCATTCATGACTCGTGTGTCTGAACAGATGACCCTGAGAAGACAGACTGGACATGATACTGCCTTTCATTTTGACGTTGGTGCTCGATGTGTTTTGTGGTGAGGAAGCCGGATGGTTCCATCGGGTTCATGGAATATAACAGACAGATGCAGGAAGTGAGAGCGGGTTATCTGGAAGTTTGGGATTGTTTTTTTTAGTTTCTTTACGCACAAATATTCCCTCAACCTGCCTTTGTTCACTTCAGTTTGAAGGATTTAATCTCCCAGAATGCCTTTCAACAACCTCTACACCTCTTGAACACTGAAGTAGCGTGTGTGTGTAGGCGTGTGGTGCGTTTAATTAACCTCGGATCTCTGAGTTCGACATGACGTCACACCGGAGTTAACTGCGTTCCAGTTGCAGGTCGGACAAGCAACATGGACGCCTCCAGGAGGACCTTTTGTTTTGTTAGCTAACACCTGGGTACCTAGAGTCCCCTCCAACCTGATGACGTATCAGACGGGTAACTCAGGATGTCCGACTTCCGAGATTAAATGGAACGCACCATTATCTGACTTCAAACCTTTCACAAAATGTTAAATATTTTAGTCTCTTTCTTTTATTTTGGCGGTGTGTTAACTATAACAGGACGTGCTGCAGATTCAGGTCTGTTGATCCCAATCGATGCAGACGACCACATATAATCTGATGAATGAAACAGCAGCTGGTTTTAAAGGGGTTTTTAATATTCAAAGAACACGCTCACCTTCTACGTACATACTCGACTGTTTTTTTTGTTTGTTTTCGATGGAATGACTCCAAAGCTGCTGATTTTGTTTTGGTTCAGTTTCAGTGTTAATGTTTTTCATGCCTGTTGTTTGCATCCTGTCTGCGTTGACATGAATGCTGATGAGCAGTATTTGTACAGATGATTGTAGTACCCCATCAACACTAGACCACCTGGTCCTCCTTCTGTACAGTACAGGCACTAATCATGTATGTAACTATATTTGTACATATTCCTCTCAG